TGTGGAGAGAGGGGCGGCGGCCGGGCGAGGCCTCGCTGTGGGGCGTTTCCACACGCACCCGGCGGCCGGTCTGCGAGCCGGGGGCTGTGGAGCCCGTGAGGGGCTGCAGCTTAGTGCCTGTCGGCTGCCAGGGGACCAACCGCAGACCTGTCGGAGGGCGCGAAGGGAATATGGCAAAGTCTGTAGGGCCAGAGAGGCTCTGGAGAGTGCTGCCGGGCTTGCAACAGCCGCGGTGTCCCTCCTCCTCGCTTTATTCATCTGGTTTTGTCCGTTTTTGTTTCTGGTGGGCCCAGAAAGCGGTGGCTGACTCTGGCCGCCTACCCCTTTGCTATAACCTTCCTTTGACTTTGCGGGGACCAGGATTAAATCTTTTGTGGGACAAAACGCCCAGTCTGGGCTGAGGCTCCTTGTGTGCCGATGAACAATTTGCCTTTCTTCTCCCTTCCATCATTTATTTCCCTTCCCAATTTATTTCCTAAGCATCCAAGAACACCCACCAGCTGACACCTGCGCGGTCGGGGGCTGGAGCTGGGAGGTTACAGAGCACCGCTGGGCCATGGGGCAGGGGTTGGGGGGGGGCTCTCGCCGTCCCCCCAGCTCCACACACACGGCGACCTGTGCTCAGCCCGGCGTGTGCGAGGGACAGGCACGAGAGCCAGCCGGTTCGGGAGCTGGGGCCTTGATCCGCCCCTCATAAAACAGCCCTGGCACAGCTCCGTCCTCCAAAGTCTGCGAAACGCTTGAGAAGTTTTGGGTGCTGTGGCTGGAGAAATGCAGAGGATGAAAGGCGCAGGGCTGGCACGCCATGTGGGGACGGACAACCCCGTTACCACCCCTGATTAGTTACAGCTTCACAGCCGGGCTGCATGAACGGCACTGCGGCGCTCTCAGCCTGCTGCCCTTGCAAAGGAAAGTACCCCAGGTGGGTTTAAAGGTGGTCGGATCCGCCACCGTTGCCCTGGGTTTGCAGCAAGCTACGAGTGCAATTAATGCAGCTCAGATGATGAGTTGTAACATGTCATAAATGATTGCCCGCCGGGGGGTAGCCGTAGCCTGAAACCACGTCTCTCCTGCTGTACGTCTGCAGCACAAGGCTGTGTTGGAGTGATCTCCTTAAACTGTTGGTGATTTCCTCCAGCCCCAGGGAGCTGTAAAAATCATCCCATCAAAAAGCAATAAGGGAAAACTGCTTGGCTTGGGCAGCGCTGCAGCTACATCCGACGGCGACTGGCCCTTGGCTTGGGGGTGGACGCCGCTGAGAAAGGAGCTGGGAAAACCGGCTGCCCCGAAGCAAGGACCTTTCCTCCGCTCTTTCCTCTCGCTTGAAGCACCCCAGGGCCCGTCCGGCATGTGGGGTTTGCCCGGTCACCCGGCCCCGGGGGTAATTCTCCTCCTGAATTGAGGGCTGAGCAGTCTGGCAGCACAGAGCTTAACACTGATTTCTGTGCGCTCTGCAGGCAGGCAGACACAGTTTTTGGTTGGGTTGGTTTTGGTTTTTTTTTTTTAGGTTTTTGGTTGGGTTGGTTTTTGGGTTTTTTTTTAGTTTAACTGTTTTTCCAAGAGAGAACGCGTGTCTCGGCGCGGTAGGCTGACCCTGGGCAGAAGCAGGGCTGTCTGCACGCCGTGCGCGGGCTGACAATTATTGTGTGAAAATTTCCAAAAATACAACGTGCGATGCCTCGGAGGGGCAACCGGAGCAGCTCTTGGTGGCTCCTGCATGGAAAGCTCAACACCAGGAGAAGGCGACGCGGCCCCATGCACGAGGTGCAAAGTTTGCATTTGCACGTGCAGGAGCATCCACCTGGTGGGTTCATCCCAACGAGATCCTGCACCCATGAACGGGGGCACAAAGAGGCTTTGGGGGTTGGTTGCTCTGCTCAAAGCCGCAGGAAGGGGCAGGCAAGGCGGCTTGTGGGCAGGAAAGGTCATGAGAAATAAAACCAGCAAAGCTCATCATGGGACCAGTCTGGCCCAAATCCTGCCCACAAATTCCTCCCGGTGCTCCCTGTTTGGCTTCCTGCAATGCCAGACCCGGCTTCTGCCCCTTTCTGATCCTCAGCTTCGTGTGAGGAAGCTGAGGGTGGGGAAATAGCATTTATAGAGAATAAAACAGCACAGCTCTCGAGGTGACTTCGATTTGCTCTTGTCTCTCTCTGTTTCAGAGCAGGGTCCACCGCTCCCAGCCTATAAATCCTGATCCCAGAGGAGGCAATTGTATTTATTTAAATACATATGTATTTGCCCTGCATTCATTTCCTTTCCCAAGTGACTGGTGACATGAAGAATTGTAATAGCAGAATGTATTTTTAAGGCATTCCCTGCAGATTTCTGCAAGGGAATCCAATTCCTCGGTGACTTTCACTTGCCACAAAGGCAGAAGACCTCAGGAGCACTGGTAATAGGCAGGGTGGGTTTTTTAATCTACCTTTTTAATGAGCTCCATCCATCTCTCTGATTAGATTAATCTCATTTATTTTAGCCAAGCCACCTAGCTGAAATCCCAACAGAGGAAATAGGGACTTTGAGTCTTTCAGGGTGAGTGCTTGAGTGTCAGGCAGCAAACTCCATGGGGACATTTCCAATTTGCCCTTTTATCGCCTCGGAAATTTGTAACCCCGACAATCACGTTGGAGAGGGACCGTCCGAGCTGCAAACCTGCCTGCATCACCGACAGTGTGGACAACGTGCTGCAGAGAGCCTGTGCATCTCCCCTCTGCCCCGTTTCGAGCAACTCCCCCAAGAGGGCAAAACCAGCCCGGTGGGGAGGGCTCAGCTTCCCAAAAAACCTTCTGTCTTCTCAGCAGGAGCAGGACAGAGAGAGCTCCGTGGATGGAGCATCCTCGCCAGCGGGATGGCCGCGCTTTTGCAAACCCACCGGCACGACCCCGCCGGGCGCAGCGAGGCGGCGGCGGGTGGGGAGGGCCCGCTTGTTCAAACAGAAATACTTTCAGCGCGCCCCAGCCGATGGAAGGGGAAATGGATTTTTTGTTTAAAAGATGGCGTTGTTGTTTCAAGCCTGACGAATGTGAAAGTCCCCATTTAAAGGAGTCGAACCGGCAGTGAAATTGGTCACTGTTTGCACACCCACGCGCCAACGGAGGCAGCCGAAAGCAAACTTCCTGGTGTATCCTGATCCAAATCACCTGGGAGCGAAGCTTAGCGAGCACAGTGCACCAAGCTGTGAGCAGCCGAGCTGCGAGCAGCCGCCCAGCCGCGGAAGGCTCTCTTTGCAAAAAAGCAAACCCTGTCCCAACGGGAGAGGCAAAGCCCAGTTGGTGTTACAGCCCCCCGCTTCCAAAAAATGAGGGAATTTGGAGCCTACAAGCTACAGCTTTGGCTCTGTTAGAAATTCTCCTTCTAGGAGGAAGGCGATCAGGGCGGAGGGCAGAAAGCATTAGCAGGTGTTTTGGGAGGGTGTGGAGGGGAGAGCTGGGGGAGCCAGGAGTTTTCCTCTGCCCCGTCAGCCAGGAAAGCTATTTTGGCAGGAGCTCCTGGGGCACCAGACAAGGTCAGGATTGTTTCTGTGCTGGATGCTGGTGTAACTGTGTGAGCAGGCAGCTGGATCCTGAGGAGCTCACGGCTTCCCTGCAGGCGAATGAGGTGGTGGTGTCCGCCTTGTCCAGGTGAGAGGATGTCTTGGTGTCAGGTCTGCCACAGCCCCTGATTTTGGTTTGGGAGTCCTTCGGAGAGGCGAGTGTCTGCTGCGGTGATGGCTCTGGTGTGGGTGTGCAAGGTGTGTACGTGCCCGTAACACACCACATGCTTCACCAATGACTACAGCATCTATTAATTCCCTCCTCCTAAGCTGGTGCGTGAACTTTTCCATGAGACATCCCATATGCATGAGCTGGCTGTTGCCACCTTGGCCACGGCGCACGTGTCCGAGCCGTGGGGACTGGCCACTTTGAGCAAACCATCACCTGTCCTGCCCAGCCTCCTGTGGCCAGCGCCCCATCTCCGGGCATTTCAGACCGATCCCGTCATCCGCATACTTAGGGGATGGGTTCGTGCTGGGTAAACTGAGGCTTGGAGGGGTTTGGCTCGTGGTCACGTAGGCAGCCTGGCCGGAGCCCAGGCGTCGTGGCCGGGAGACGTGCGTGGAGCCGGGGAGGTGCTCATCGTGCCGTCTCGCCCCGTCGGACACCCCCAGACCCAGAATCAGTTTTGGGCTCCGTGTGCAAAGCGCCGGTTCGCTGCTGGTGCCGCTGACTCTGGGTAATCTTCATATTTGCTGACTTTACTTAATTATCGCTTGGTGGAGAGCTCGGCTCTGGCGAAGCTGCGGTACGGGGAGGCCCAAACCACACACAGCGCTCGGGGAGGGATTTTGATCCAAAAAAAAAAAAATCAAAGGTGTTTTTGGCTTAATGCGGTTTATCTAAATTGCTTTATGTTCGTTAATCTGGATTAACACAAATGCTCTTGGAACTGCTGGCTGGGGAAGGGTTTGCTCAGCTATTCCAACAAGGACAGACTTTTCCAAAAATGAAAAGTTTGAGCTGGGGGAGAAAAAAAAAAAAAGCCAGGTCCTGTGTGGACTGGGGGGGGGGAAGCCAGGTCCTGTGTGGCATTGAGTACGTGCGAGCCCTGCAAACAGAGCAAGGCTGTTCTCATCCCCGCTGCCCAAATCCGTGGGGTGCCTTCGAGGGTCATCCTTGGCACCTGCACACCCTAATGACTGAGCAGCTTCCCCCGCTGCCGGCAGAGGATTAATCCCCTCGTTCTCTCCGGGGCGATGCGAACCCCTTTTTTGGCTGGCGTGCCAAAGCGGTTGGCACGATTAGTTAGTGAACTTCAAGGTAAATTGGAGGTCAAGCCCAGATTTGAAGGTGGTGGTGGGCGCGAGCGTGACCCAGGGAGCCATGTGATGTGGGCGACGTCCTGGAGAAGCAGGTGATCTCCCCGTCCTCTCCTTTCCCCAGGGCTGGGATTAGGAGAGATTTTACAGCTGAGTGGCCGGCCTCATGTTAAGATTCGGTTTGCAATGGCTCAGCCCCCCTGGCCCCTCCTCAGGAAGGACCTTTTAGGTCTTTTATGGCCGTTTTGCATGTCAGCAGGGCAGTTCATGCCTGCCGGGGACCTGTCCCTGGGAGGGATCACCCCTTTGCATCCGTAGGGACTTCCCACCTTCAGAACAGGCAGAGAAACACCCAGTGTGGAAATTGGGACTCATGGAAGAGGATCGCAGAGCCCAGCGATCTGGAGATCGGAGATCTGGAGATCTGGAGAGGGTTGTCTCATGCTTGTGCATTCTCCTGGGATCTGGGTGCACTTTCTTGCCCTGTGGGACTCACGGAAGAGGATCGCAGAGCCCAGCGCTTTGGAGAGGGTTGTCTCATGCTTGTGCATTCTCCTGGGATCTGGGTGCACTTTCTTGCCCTGCAAAAGGCTTCTTGTGCGGCCTCAGGCAGGTCCTTGCACTTCGGAACTCGGTTCCGCCCATGTAATGGGGAGGGCAACCCTTTCCACCAGCTGCCTGTGATCAAGGATGCTCCGGTGCCACGGGGAGGGCGCCGGGGACCGGTCGGGGACTGACGGATCAGCTCCACGAAGGACCCAGCTCCAGCTCTCAGCAGCCACAAGCAGCAGCAGGAAAGCAAAGCGCTCCTGCCGAGCTGAAATGGAAGTTGTAAGCGCGACCTGGGCGCTGCCCAAAAACCAGGGGACTCCCTCCTCCCCCTGCCCCAGCGCAAACAGCAGATTAACAATTTATTTGACATGTTGCGGCTGGTTAGTTTCTTCGCCCGCTCCCCTGATCAGAGGGAATAAATGTTGCAGTGTGCAATAATGTTCATTTCAGGTGAGGGTAAATATAGAAAGGAAAACCTGCTGAGAGCAAGCCATTTATTTCTGCGTTTGGAAGCCTCTGCTCATAAACAGTCAGTCATACCCATTTGGAAAATCCCAGCGTGGTTTTCTTGGCCATCCTAGAAGAACGTTTACTTTCCTGTAGGTTAAGAAGTTTGTTTTAAATTAAAAAAAATAATAATGGCATCTCACTTCCAGCTGCCCTCGGGTGTTTAGGGCTTGTTGACACACTAAGGCCGCTCTGTTCTCGTGCAAAACTGGTCTGGTGCAGGATCACGGAGGAGATCCTGCAGGGCTTTCCCGGCTGGCGGTGCTGGGGGAACCTTGTTCTTTGGGTTTCCTTGTTCCCCTGCTTGTGCTGGGCTTGGGATTTTGTCAGACCTTCCAGCCATGTGCGGGGTTAAAACATCCAACTTTTGGGGGTGCTGGTGGGTGAGGATGCAGGGAGGTGCTTGGGGGGGGATCTTGAGAGCCCCATGGCTCGGGAGCTGTGCTCGGGAGGGACGAACCTGCCGTGCTGAGCTCACGCTGGACCAGAAAACCTCCGAGGGTTTTTGGGAGAGCGTGCCAAAGACAACAGGACGGTGCGGGCTGCAAGGAGCATCCATCAAACAAGCCAACAGCCAGGGTAAGCCCGTGCCCTGCTGCTGCTGCAGCTTAGGAGAGACACCCCAAAACAGCATCCTAGAAGGGGGCTGAGGAAGGTGGGGACCCCCCATCTCGGCCCGGCTCTGCGCCCCTCCTCTATCCCGAAAGCGGCACCGAGGAACCGTGCGGGAGAGAGCGAAGCGGCCAGCTTGAATTGGACGGCTGCCCCGCGTTGGCTCTCCGTGGCTGGCACTGGCCGAGCGGGAGCTAGCTCCCGGCTCTGAAGTTTTCTGCAGTCAATAAGGGTCTCTCCGTGTTTTCCGACAGGCTTTGGATTTGGCTCGGGTTTGCCTTGGTTTCCGAAGGCAAGAGGCAGTTAAGTCTCTTGGAAGAATGAATTAATTAGCAAATGCCTTTGGTCAGGTCAGTGCCCTCGAGCAGTGTGCTTCGTCCTTTAAAGCAATGCTTCTGCACCCAGGTAAGCTGCTCCGAAAGGCTTACATTACCCTTAGTATTTTAAGAGCTATACATACATCATCCCGGAGGAACCCTTTTTAAAAAAAAAAGGGAGAAAAAAAGCCTCCCCCAAAACGCGGTGTTGACTCTAACGGTGGCATTTGTGTAAGCAACAAAATATTGACGCAGTTGGCTGGGGTCTGGCTGGGGCTTCTGGAAATAAACTGCTGCCTTGTTAAATTGTAGATGGAAATGCAAGTGGGAAAATGACTGACATCTTACACAAGGCGGGCAAATAAAATCGCCGCTTTACTACAGCGTGAAAAAACTCGGGAATTAATAGGGCTCCTTCTGCTCGGGGGTGTTGGATTTATCCCCGAGTAAGATTCATAAACTATTTTAAGGAGAGAAGTGCTACTTTTAAACACGCGCGTCTGGGTCCTGGAGTTAAAGTGGTGTCACTGGTGCCGAGTTAACCCTTGCCTTCTCGCGGCGTGCCGGCCCCAGGAGTAACGGCAGGCAGAGCAGGCAGCCCCGTTCTTGGCAGATAGCGCTCTCGCCGAATATATAGACGTATCAACACCTGATAAATGCCATGAGTTTATTTTTGAAGGGTATTAAGTACAATGTGTTCCAACAGCTTATGTCACAAATGCATTTCAGGCCTCAACCTGAACTCTGAGCTTGATTTTACCTGTGTGGGACATAAAATGCATTTAAAATAAAACACCTGCTCCAAAGCCATGCCGGGGATGGAGTTGAAGCAGACGCACAGAGCGTTGCTGAATCCATCTGGGGTGTGATCCAGCGCACCCCGAAAGACTTCAGCAGCTGTAAGAGCTATTATTGGGGTATCTTCTATGGGAAATGTGATTTAGAGTGATATATCACTTTCCTTTCTACCCAAAGCCCCTTCCATCTCCACCCACATCCTGACGATCTGCCAGCTGATGTACACATGCTTGTTGAAAAGCAGGACGAGATAAAAGCCGTATGGAGCGTGCAGCAAGTCTGCCGGCGGCACAGGGTCCGACTCACCAGCAGCAACGACACCGGTGTAATTATACATGCTCCAGTACGATTTCCCAGTAATTATTCTGGAATAAAAGCCTGCCTATTTCTGTAAGAGCTTATGTCACTTGGAAAGCTGTTATAAATTCAGCTGGAAAAAGGGACCCTTATTCTGGGATAAGTGTGGTTAGTGGTTAGCTGGGAACGGGGCTATTCCTGGCGCTGCCATCGACCTTCCCGGTGACGCCGGCTAAGTCACCTCACCTCAGCATGTGTCACCTTCTCCTGCTGCAAACCGGGAATTACAAACAAGGGCCTTCTCCGCAGGCAGAGTTTTGGGAAGCTCTGTGACACTGGAAAAAAGGTGTCACAGGGTGACAGGCAGTCATTTAGTGGGACTCGGTGCTTTTTTACCCCCCTCGGAGGCATCTTGATAAAATTGTAGGTTGGGGAAATGAGGGATGTAGCCGGGAGCTGGCGATGGGGACTGGCTGAGTCGCCGGAGCCTGGGCCGTTGGCGTATTACTGGGAATACAGTGTTTTCCTCTCCAATTTTAAAAATAGTCTATTCTGTTCTGAGTTTTAGACCACACCCCTCGCTAGGGCATCGAAATGTCTCGGCTGCCGTTTTCTCGAGCCAGCTCTTTCCGCGTGCAGTGTCGGGGTACAGCACCAGCATCGATCACCCCAACTGCCAGGTGCTCTGGATGCAGCGATGAGGTCGGGTCCTGCCCCGGACCGGCAGCGTTGTGCCTTTGGCCCTCGTGCACTGGAGGGGAAGAGAAATCTCCCGATTCGCAGCATTGTGGCCTCTTCCTCCTCCAGCATCTCTGCCTGATTCAATAGCTGGTTCTGTGATCCCTAAGATCCTTTACGGGAGTTTTGCTTCTGCCTGTTCCTTCGCAGCAGCTTCTTGTGCAGCCTCAGAAACCCCTTTTGGCTCCAGCGTCACGCAAATGTGCACGGTCAGAGCTGAAGATGCGGCTCGTTCACAGCATATGGCACTAAATTCATGCTAGAGATGGGGAGGTCTAGTTTCAAAATGTTTGGTTTTTATTTTCATTTGCACAGACAGTGCAGGGTGGCTCACAAGCCAGAATTTGTCCGCTTTGCTGACGCGGGCGCTGCCCATGGAGCGGATGGACCAATGTGCTGGTGCCGAGAGACGAAGGCAGAGTCTGCCTCGGCGCGTTCCCGCAACCTCCATCCCTGCGCGAGCGCCGGAGCGGGGCTCACCGCTGCTCTGAATTGGGTTTTTTTCATTTGCACAGATAGTGCAGGGTGGCTCACAAGCCAGAATTTGTCCGCTTTGCTGACGCGGGCGCTGCCCATGGAGCGGATGGACCAATGTGCTGGTGCCGAGAGACGAAGGCAGAGTCTGCCTCGGCGCGTTCCCGCAACCTCCATCCCTGCGCGAGCGCCGGAGCGGGGCTCACCGCTGCTCTGAATTGGGCTCCAGCCAAGGAGGCAGAGGGGAAAAAGCTTTTTACAGCCCATTAGTGCTCCCCAGAGCCGTTCAGCCCCTCTCGTAATAAAAGTGGTGGAAGCCACAGAAACATTAAGGCTGGTCTGCAGAAGATGCCAGCCCGGCTCCATGTCCCTTCCCAGTGACTTTGCCGGAGCCGCTGACCCTCCTGGCAGCCCCAGCTGCTGGAAGTCCCTCCGGGAACGCAGTAACAAGCTGGCGAGGGCTGATCCCCCGTCCGTCCCGAGCTCCCCTGGCAAAATGTGCATGGGAGGGTTCCAAGTGCAAATGTGTGTGTGCTAATGGGAAATGAATTGCCTCTTGCCCCGAAGCCTTGCAGCTTGAGGAAAACAACACAGGGTCTAGGAATGACCTCATATCGCCTCCCAGGGAATGTTTTGCCAGATGAAGGGGGGAGAGGCAGCATCAAGACAGCACAATGTATGTATCTCTCTCCCTGTGTAAACATCCCTGTAGCTGCAGAAGCCTCTTAAAACCCCGAATGAGAGGAGAACAGCTGCTTTGATCTGTGGATGTGGTTGTTATTTTCTAAGTGCGGATCCATTCTTTTTTTAATTTTGCTTCAAATTGAAAAAATGCCTGTTGTGATCTTTTGCTTTTATTTCTTGGCCAGGGACCGGAGCAGGGTGCAGTAAATTTTCATTACTCCCCATGTAACCGTTTCAGCATGGTCGACAATTCCTCGCCGGCTCTTCAGCGCCGCAGCACAATGGACCAAAACTTCTGGCCCTACGTGAAGCCAAAGCAAATGGATTTTGCCCAGAAGTGCACGACGGGGAGTGAAGGCAGCAGGGAGGAGAGCCCTGCCACCTCCTTCCCTGCCCAAAAAACGCACACGCACGTGTGCACACACAGCTCGGGCTGGCAGGGTTGTCCTGATGCCTTTGAAGGGCTCCGGAGAGGGCTCCCAGGGATGGATCCGTGCCAGCCCCGCACCGCGGCAGCAGGAGCTGGTAAGGAGCCATCGGGGCCGAAGCACCAGGCTGTCTTGCAGGCGATTTAAGTGTGATTCATGGCCCTCCCTCCAGACTCCCTGTGTGATCTCGGGAATCTCCATCTGCCTGACTTTTGCCATCTGTGTGCCGGGCAGGGGGACGGCCCTGCACTCGGAGGGGCACCGCGGCGTGCGCAGCCCTGGGACCTCCATCGGCCCTTCTTCTGCTCAACCAGGCAGCATGCTTTTGGAAGAAAGCAAGATTATATATTTTTTTTAGGGAGTTTCTGAACATCAGCACCTTACCCCAAACCCCCTGCTTTGCCGTGGTGCTTTGCAACTCCGTTGGAGGAGAGAGACATAGGGAGCGGAGGGGCTGAACTCTGTGGCGTGAGCGATGCTGCCGTCAGCCAAGGACCTGCCTTCAAAGGTGAGGTCCACCCCCCAGTGCAAGGCAATGGTTTAACTGGGAGCACTTGGCCGGAGACCCGTCCCCGCCGAGGCGGGCAAGGTCCGACCGAGGCGTCTACTCTG